TTTCCAGTGGAGTATTGCTATCATTTATAGTTTTGGGCCAGGAGGAGTCCAAGTTTGCATGTATAGAGATATGTAGATAATTGAAAAGTTGTATGATTTTCAAAGTGGTAGTGTGTTTGTTAGGACCGTCGATGATAGGATGAGGGTGTCGGAGAATATTAGTTGCAGACCAGAGGTTGTTTTGGAGTTGTTGAAGTCGGATATGTGTTGTAGTACCAAGTGTGGAAGAATTATTAATTCTATTAAGAAAATTGCTAGTATAATGTTGTAGTTGTATGTTCTAAATATTATGAATATTATAAAGATTATGGTTGAGAAGTGTGCTGTTAGAAGTGGAGCAGGAAATCGGGGTGGCTGATACTTTGAGGACCATCCCAACCTGGTTACCCAGGTTGTTTAACATCCTATCCTCTGATCTTGGACATGTAGAAGACTAGTTTGTGTTTGTAACCCTTATATGGATTTATCACTGACTAAACTGGTTTGTATTCCTTCAATCCTTACTTCGAACTATTTTTCAAGGGGCCCCAACTCTCTATTCTTCATCCTTTTCCGAATTGAACACCATACTCGGGATTTGCAAGTAGTTCTTCCTAATCTGGTTAGTCCAGAGGTCTTGATGTTCGTACCACTTCTATATCAGGGTCTACCATAGAGGCTTATCTTGTGTTTGCGCCGACATGCACCGGTTTGCATTCCTTTATCCGGGTTTTCCCCAAATAAATGCTCTACTGTAGATTTTGTTACACCACAGTACTCCTAGGAGCAGTACCCCTGGTCCACACTCTTTCGGTTACAGCATACGATGCCACTACAGATTAAGTTGATATATCTGGAAGGGATATACAAGGAGTAGTTTTCAAATTTTTGTCACCGGTAAGATTTGAACCCTAGACCTTGCTACTTGGGGGGTGACAACTCTACCACTTCACTATGTCACCACACCCTACTTGTTCTAAAATTACAAACTTTTATACTAATATTATTAAACAAAAGGCATGTCTAGAATGATATATTCTAATTTTACTTTTTACTACACCAATATATATAGATTAAATATTTTATTTAATATTTAACAACTACAACAAATTTATATACTTAATTGTAGTATTAAGTTTGACTAGTTAAGCTTTAAAATTTATTTACAACAACTTTAATCTCTATTAACTTAAAAAGTTAATACTAGAAAAACTACTAGTTTTTTTTATCAAAGAATTTAAAACAAATATAGTACAAATTATAATAATTTTACATTTACTAAATATACAACTATCTTATAAAGCTAATCTCTGGTCTATCTTTAGGCCAACAAAAAGCATATATATTAATTTAATTTTTTACTTTATGAAATAACTACACTCTATCAAACAAAATTTTAACATACAAATATTATCTGCATCAAACAATTTCTTAATAACAAATTATTACATACCTGATTAGAACTTGTTTTACTATAATATACAAAAAATATCTTGAGAAAAAATTTTACAATAGTTTAAAATAATTACAAATACTGCAAATATACCTACTTTACTTACTTACACCAACACTTTTACTTTTACCTCTATAGCCAATAGCTTTTCTTAGTAGATTTTACAAGTTCCAAGTTATTTGGCAAAATTACAAAGCTTTAATAACAATACTATCAAAATCAAGCACTATATACTTTATCTTATTTATTCTAACTAACTTGCTCTTGTTTTAGATATCTAAAAAAAGATTCTAAACTCAGAACTATTTATTGCTACTTTGCTTTTCCAATAAACAATATCTACAAAATTTAAATAAACTGTTGCAAAAAATTTATACAAGGTTTATTTGTTTATTTTTTTTTCTAAAACAATATAAGCTATCCAGACTTTGCCTATAATTGAATATAGAAACACTTATTGACTCTCTTATATTTTTAAAAAAAATTATATAAAAAATATACATATCTATACTATTTTAAAAAAATCTTTATATTAACTTCACAACCAACTTCAAAAAAAACAAATAACACCAAAATATCCCTGGCTCAAATGTAACTAATCAAGTTTGGTATATTATTAACTTAACTTTCTATCTTCTATATCTACTTTACTTACTTGCAATAATTGGTACAGTAGCTTTATATCAAACTAAATTTATTATTTATAGTGACTAGTAAAATGGTAAGTCTGTTGCTCTAACTAGTGAGACTTCGTATAATATAGCAGATACTGTGAGACAAGGCTTCAAGGCATGGACTTGACTTGGCTAAGTATAACTTTAATTATTTATTTATTCAATAGGTTTATTAACACTAGATCTTTGCCCTTACTATTATTTTAAGTGCCAAAAAGATAAGTTTTTTTTATTAAACTTCTTTTTGGTTTTATATATTTTCTTTATAACTAATAATTTTTGTTTATTTTAAGTTTTTCTTTTCTATTTTTTTCACTATTCCGCCTTTCAAATCATATGACTGTAGGTTTTACTAGACTGGGTAAGTATTATTTTCATTTGTTTAACTTTTACTTTATTGTTTATTATAATTATACTTATCTACCCTTTTGTAACCCAGATTCTGTCACTCTAAAACACTGTATTTTACAATCCTATACCTTCCCCATTTGAGTATATTCATCTTGCTAGGATTGTTTGGGTATTGGGGTACAATTATGCATATTTCACCATTGTGAGATGAATTGTACATATATGACTTGTGGGCCCCAATTGTTATTTGTACAATGTATCATTATGTACAAAGTGTCATGTTATTCTAGTCTGTAATATTATACTAACAAACAGTGGCTTCATGCCAAAATTAATTTTATTCTAGATTTTCTCTTTAATTCAAGCCAGCAACTTTACAAACTCTTTTTAATAATATAATTATTCTCTTAAAGATTTTTATAAATGAAAAAAAAAACAAAACCATATCCAACAATTTATACAAGTATTAACCAATATTAACTGAAACTAACTTTTGAGTATCTAAATTACCAAAATACCCCCTTGAGCTGAAATACATATTCTCAAAAATCTATTCTCAGAACATTTAAAGTCAAAATACTAACTTCTAAATTACCAATGCATTTACATTATAAAAATTTAAAAAACTTACCCCCAACCCTTTCTATGCAAAATGCCCCAAGCATTAAAAGATATAACACACATGCTAACATGTCTACACAGCCAAATCAAACTACACAACATAATAGAAGAAGTAATTAATAAAGTTTGCTATAAAAATAAACTTAAAATCTCAACAGTAGTTAATTTGGCTCAACATCTTACCACTATGTATATCCAATTAAAAGTCTCATTTAGTATTATAAGTTCAGACAATATAGCTCTCTCAAAAGAAAAACAACATTGATTCCACTTATTTATTATAAAATAGCAATAAAAATACACAAATATATATGGAAACCTAGCAAAATAAATCTTCCCCAAGCTCTTTTATCCCTCTAACTCCCCCTAATACTACCATTTTCTTCAACTCTCTAGATAGACAATATTTATTTTGACTAAATAATTTTATATAACATAATATATTATCTTTTAACAACCCATAATCTAGAGATTTTTTCAATCATTCTAGCTAAGAATAGGTTTAGGGTAAATAGACAATTCCTAGCCCTAACTTCAATTCCTTTTCTTAAATTAACAATTTGTATGTTTGTATCTAATTTTACAATTTGAAATAAAGAAATAGAAGAAAAATCTCTCTTATAAAAAATAAAAAAAAAAGAAGTTACATTTTAATTAATTTAAGATTTTTAAAATCATACATATAAACTTATAAACAAAAAGTAATAATTTAACTCTTGTAAATAAAAATTTAAACTGTATCTTTTACAACGTCATAATCATTTGCCGTAAAAATTGTCAAAAAAAATTAGTAGAACGCGAGGTGAAGCAATTTTTTTAAACACCAATAATTCTATCAATTTTGCTGATCTATACATAAAATTTGTATTACTTATTAATTTTTATATGATTAATTAGTATTAGTATACGTAAGACACCCCAATGCGATATGATGCTCATTACGTGAAATATAAAAAATATGTGCAATTATGGTCACGCGGATCAATCAGATCCCAGATTTTAGGATCATTTCGATTGCCGTATAATCATACACTACGTTATATGCATCACTCCGTTCCTGGTATTCGAATCAGGAACCTTTGACTCTAGGGATATGGGAGCCTAGACAACTAGGCTACGGGACCCAAATCCACAACCCAACTTGTGATATAATTAGCAATGAAATTTTTTAATTTTTAATTGCTTACAACAGATTGTTAAATTAATAATTCATTTCTATTGACTAATAATTAAATTATCCAAAACGCATAGAGGATATTGATAATAAGTGATTAATCATAATTTTCAAATTATCGTGGTTTGCAAATTGATGTACCTTTTGATCAAATTTTAAACTGTTACATATAATACGATCACTTGAACGATCATTTGATTGATGTCCGGTTGCACGATTATACAATTATTTATAATCACAACCGGGAAACAATCAGGTTATAGTATGTTATGTGTGTGCAGCAATCTAAAATTCGATCAAAAGAATTAATAATCGATTAATGATGAATTATTCATTTATAATAAAATCATTGGTTGTATCATCTTTCGATAAAACCTTCTATGGATGATTCAGTTATTTAATTGCTTAGAAATTATTGTTAATTATTAATTTAATTTTAATCATTTCAATGATTATACGTATTTTGTCTTTATAAAGTATTATTGTAGTTTTATTTAGTTTACAAAATGTATAAATAACAATAAAATTTTTAATTTAACTTAATACGTTTAAATAAATAATTTATAGGGAAATTTTCTAATCAATACAAATTATATTTGGTTTTATAAAGTTGATCAATCGAAATACCTAATTTATACATGCAACTACGTAAAACTTATTTATAAATAACATGCAACTGAATCCATAACATTACTATGTTATATAATTAATTTTTATTCATTTATGATAAATAATGACAATAGGCACGATGTATCTAAAATATCATCATTTTATAGTAATTATCCTTTGCGTAATATTGATAGTCTCAGAAACAAATGCAACTTCCTATGCTGTAGATGCTGGAGACCCGCATGGAGTTCAAGCAGTTTCTGCTTGGTCATGCGCTAAAGCGAGCGGCTTCACTAGGGCTATTATCGAATGTTACAGGTAAAGAACACTATTTATTCATTTTTAAATATAATTTCTTCTATTTTATAATTTATTTAATTATGTTTCATTATTCAGCGAGTATTGTAGTCAAGGTGGAGGTGTTTCTTCCAGCTGCCTTGGCAACTATAAAAATGCTGTTGCAGCCGGTTACAAGTACATTGATCTCTATTTTTACCCTTGCACTGGAGCTGCGTATAATTGCAAGTCACCACAAACGCAGGTTAATGAGCTTGTTACATTCGTCAATCAAAATAAGATGCTAGTGCAAACTATCTGGATCGACTTTGAAAATGATACAACTACTTGCACTAAAAGTTGGTCTCAAGACACAGCAAGTAACCTTGCGCTGGCAAAACAATTTACAAATGCTGCTAAGACAACTTTGTGGAATTGGGTAAAGTTTTGTAGTCATATTTAAAATAGCAAGTTATAATATGCTTATTTAAGTATATAATTTCAAGGGCATATATTCGACAAATTATGAATGGACAAAGCTTTTTGGTAGCGCACAAGCCGTCGTTGATAGCAGCTTTAAAATCTGGTATGCGGTAAGTTAACATAACTTCTGTTATACTAATCACATTATAAATATCGTAGAAACTTTACATATTACTTTACAAATGAATTTTTATATAGGATTTTCAAAATCCTTCACAGCCAAACTATGATGACTGGAATAGTTTAGCATTTGGCGGCTTTAGTACTCCTTCAGGAAAGGTAATAATATTGCATCGCTCAAAATCTTTACGAAAATGCATTCATCTATGTTTTATTTTTTAGCAATATGCAGACAGCGGCAGTAATTGTGGCATTTATGATCTTAGTATTTTCACTTATAGTACCGGCGCTCAGGAGTAAGAATAATCGTCTTAATAAAGGCATCAAATTAATATTGTGCCCAATTTTTTATTTATTATTTAAGTCTAACGTGATGCACAAATTTGTGACAAATTGTGATATACATACCTTATTTACTAAATTTAATAAATTAAACTAGGCGCTTTAAATGTTTAAAGGGGGTTATAATAGAGTATACTATATCGCACTGTAGTAAAATTCTCAAATTTGTCAATTTCATATTATAATTTATAGCAAAACAGGTAAATTTTGTATTATTAATGAGAAATTGTTTGGTGTTTATTTTGTAGCCTTTACATATTTTGTAGTTTTATTAGTAGTGATTTTATATACTTCAGATTATGTATAAAATTTTATTACTTCTATCTTTTATTTTACATTTAAGTAGCTACTTATTGCCTTATTTTTTGTTTACTTCATTTTACTTTTTTTAACTATTTTATAATATGTCATTTATTTATCATTTTTATTTATTATAGCATGATACGACAACTCTATATATGATTAAATTTGCAGAATTATGTGATTTTTAATAAGTATGTAGATAATTTGTGTTGTTTTATAATGGAATTGATATAATTTTGTTATGAGTTATTGAAAAAATTATGCTATAGAGTTTTTGCTAGCTATTCTAGTAATCACAATAAGTGATTAAGATGAGATAATTTGTATCACAATAATTATAATTACTATTGTGAGTTACTGTAAATAATTTCATACAGAGCTTGCTATTTTAGTAATATAGTTAAAATTAAGTTATTTTACATTGGAATTATTGTGATTTTTTTATTATTTATCGTAGTAAAAAAATCTACTAATTATTCCAGTATTTATAATATATTGTTAAGTTTGAGTTAGTATATTTTGAGTGTTTCAAATTGAGCTGGCTCAAATAGGCTTACTTGATATTTCTATTGGTTTATTGAAATTATTTAATTTTTATATTATATAATATATAAAAATATTATTTATTTATATAATTTATATAATATGTTATATGGCTTATAAGTTAAATAAGTCTTAAATAAGCCAATAGGTTGTAAATAAGCCTAATTGGCTAGCTCAATTTGAAACATTAATATTTTATAATTGTTATTATTTTAAATAATTTGTTATAGCTATTTTGGTTACTACTATAAGTACTTAGCAATTAGGTTATTATTTATTTGTAAATTATTAAAAAAATTCTGTTATAAAGCTTAATTTTCTGGCTAAAAACTTTATTTGGAATTTTTATAATTTTTATTATAAGCTATTGTAAGCAAAATTCTGTTACAAAATTACTGCTATTTCAATACTATAATATAAAATTAAGTTTGAGTAGCTTGTATTAAAGCCGCTATAAATAATTTTTTTACAGAACTTACTTGCTATTTTGGTTATCATTATTGCTTGGCAAAGTTAACCCTTTTTTTGATATTTAAATATATAAATATTGAGCTAACTTTTAAATTAACAGCAATTTATTATTGTATTGTTATATTGCTATATTGATTTAAAAGCCAGATTATTATATAAATTTGAGTATAAATAAATATTTAATTTTGCTAAGCACTAGTAATCATAATATATAGTTAGTTTGTATCAAAATTGTTATGTATTTTTATTATATAATTTATACTATATATAAATAATTTTGTTATTTTCTATTTCTATTCTAATTAAGACAAATTATATTGAAATTATCATATTTTTATTGTAAATTAATATAAATAGTTATTTACTATTATAATAAATATAATATATAGTTAAGTTTAATTTAGTTTGCATTAAAATTGGCATAATTCTTATTTTTTTTTTCCAGTGCTAAGGTAATCTCTTTAGTTATATTTTTTTATTAGAAATATTATTTTGATTACAATAAAAATATATTTAGCTACTCGAATAACTTTTGGCTACTAATTTAAGTAGTTTTTTTATCTAGTTTTACACTAGCTACCATATCTATAATCTAACTAAAAAGTTATTTATTTAAACTCTCTAGTTAATAACAAGAATACAACTAGCCACATGTATAACTTTTGGTCACCTATTTAAATGGGTTTGCACTATTTTTACTATACCTGCAACTTGACTAGGAGGTTGCTTATTTAAACCTTCTAATTATAATCTTAATTTTACCAAGTAGAATCTCTATCCTTTAATACCAAAAGTGGGTGGGCTTATAGATTTTGAATATGCTTTAGAACTTAAACCTATTAGTAACTTTTATATTCTATTTTAGTTAACCCAGTTATTGCAATTGCCAAGATTTTTATTTGCAGTTTGGAATATCATAAACCAATATGCTTTTGTAAGGTTTATTTCTACTCTAGTACTTATATTTAGACTTTTATTTGTCTACAGGTTTTTACTAGTCATTTTCTTGTTTCTAACTAATAACCCAAAAGATTTTGATCTTATTTTAGCTTTAGATATTTTGTGGCTAGTCTTACTTGGTATATATGTTCAAAGCATATATATTTTTTTCCAATATAATAAATACTAGTAGTCTGGTTAGTAGATCTCCCACTTAAAGATCTGTTGTTGCTCAGTTTTCTGATCTCAGTTCTTGCTTCTAAATTTGGCTTTCTAGTAGTACTGTTAAAAGTATTCACTACTTTCTTACTCAGGTTTTTTTAAATGGGTTTCAATCATTTTGGGTTCTTGGCATTTATGTGCTAAAGCTTCTATTATAGATAGTATTACCAATATTGCAGATTTTAAATCTAACTAATTAACAAATAATTATTACCAAACACAGGCTTATTTTTCAAAATTATTATCTTTGAAATTCAAACTCTAGATCTGCCATTTGGTAAGTAACAACTAGACAACTTCACTAAGCTACCACACTCTTGGCATAATTCTTATTGTAAGTTACTATAAATAACTTAATTATAAAACTTGTTCTTTCTAGTAACTATAAATAATATTTAAAAATAGTTAGTTTGTATTATAAATAGTATAGATTCTATTGTTATTATAAATTGCTATAAATAATTTATTACAAAAATATATTTGTTTGTATTAAAATTTTTGTAATTTTTATTATTATTAATTATATAAAAAAATTTTATTACAAAACTTACTTTTATTTATATATTAAAATCATTTTGATTTGTATAAATAATTATATTATAAAAAAACTAGCTATTTTAGTAATCGTATTAAGTATTTATATAGTAGTTTGCATTTATTGCAATTTGCAAAATTATTTATTTTGTAAATTTCTACAAATCAATATAATTACATAATTGCTATCTAATTATCAATTATATAAACCAATTTTTAGCAAGTATGTTAGTTTAACAAAAAGTATAAAAGTTATATATTTAAATTAAAATTTTGTAAAAAATTACTTTACAATTACATAATTGAATAACAATCATATAATTGTATAAGTAAGCAATAATCTATACAATTTATTCAAAAATAAATTATTTTGCAAAAGTTAATATAATTTATTTATAAGCTATTAAAGAATTCCAATATAGAATTTATTTATTATTTTAAATAAGTTAACTTGTATTTAGATTATTGTAATTCTCTAGTATACTGTTGTAAACAAAATTTTTGTTGCTATATATTGCTTACTATTTTAGTAATTATAAAATATAATTAAATATTAGCTAGTTTGTATTAAAATTTTATAACTTTATTAAAAGTTATTGTAAATAATTTTGTTATATACTTACTATTCTAATACTACAATCTGCAATTAAGATAAATTATTTTATATTGAAATTGTCTTAATTTTTATTGCTAGTTATTGTAAATAATTTTGTTACAAATTTACTTGCTATTCTATTAACTATAAAATGAATATATTAGTTTGTATTAGAATTAAGCTATTTAAAAAATTTTATTATAGAATTTACTTGATATTTAATAACTACAATATGTAGTTGTAACAAAATAATTTGTATAAAAACTATTATATTTGTATTACAAATTATTATAAAACTTACTATTTAATAATAGTTAAATTTAAAATAGTTTGTATTAAAATTGTTGTAATTTATTATGAGTTAATATAGATAATTTTTGTTATAAATCTTGATATTCTAGCAACTACAATATATAAATAATTTATATTAGTTAATATTGATATAAATATAATTTTTATTTGTATAACTAAAAAAATTCTATTACAAACTTACTTACTATTTTAAGTTAAGTTAGTTTGTATTGAAATAATTATAATTTTTATTGAAAGTATTGTTATAGAACTTACTATTTCAATAATTTTTATTATTAATACTATAAATTTTATTACAAATCCTATATATTATTATTCTTTTAATGTAGCATTAATACATATTATTATTATTATTTATATTTTAGTTAATAGTATTAAATATATATAAAATATATAACACAAAAGTTAATTTTTTTTTAAATTGTAAAGAAATAATTAAGTTCAATATTATTTTATAAAAAACTATAAACAGTATAACTTTAAATATTATAATTTTTATAATATACATTTTTACTATAAAGTTTGGTATATATTTAGTAAATCTCTTAAACATATATTATCTAATTACAAAAATATTGCTATAATTAGAAATAATCTAAAATATTAACTAAAAATTGTATAAATATATTTTTAATATTTCAATAAAATTTATATAATAGAGTATATATCTAATAATAAAATCAAAAGTTATTAAACTTTAAAATTTTATAAATGTAGCCACAAATAAAATAAAAAATTTGAAGGCTATTCAGATATACATATATGTATATATTTGTATTTAAGATGAGGTCTTGTTTATATCTTTATTGAGTAATTTATTTAAGTAATTATATAAAAAACTAAATAAGAACTCAATTCATATACAAATAAATAAATATAAATTATATACAGAAATAAGAGCTTAGACTAATTTATCTGTGATCTAAATCTACTAGAGTAATTAAAGCTTATCTAGATTTAAATAGTTAAGATAGAGTTAGTAGAGATACTGTATTGAATCTACCTAGTAGCCCAGATATCAAATTTACAATTAGATATA